CTAAAAAATTACAGTTTTTTTACCGGCTTCTTGCGTCAGGTCATAACAATATTTGCTTAATATAAAAGTTTTGCAGTTTGTATGTACAAAATGAGATAGGTCTCCACTCGGAAATGCATGAAAGAATATAAATGAACATTTAGAAACGTGTTTAGAAACCTAGTAAAAAAGATTACTGTGTGCAAAATTTTGTGCAAAAGAATTTATATTCTTTCATGCATTTCCGAGTGGAGACCTATCTCATTTTGTACATACAAACTGCAAAACTTTTATATTAAGCAAATATTAATTATTATGGTCGGTAAAACAGATGAGCTTTTGGATTCCTTTAAGTTTCGAGACTCGTTCGCATTTCCGAACGTTTGATCCGTTTGTGCTGCCACTTTAAGAGGTTATACACAATTCAATACTCAACACGTGTTGCAAGTTTTAAATTATTTGGTTCAATAGTTAATAAGATATAATCACGCAAAGTTGCGTTACAAAATTTTGTTTAAAAATCGGTGTAATGGAAGGTTTGACAATGCATCAACATTAAATTCTGTGTTAAATTAGAGAAGTCTCCAAAAGAGAAACATTACAAATAATTCAACAAGCCCAGTCCTCTGAAGCAAGCCTTTTCAAAATTTGATTCACATTTTTTTTATGTCAGCTGTATCTTCGAAACAAATTTTAAACACAATTTTGTAACACAATTTTGTGTGACTATATCTCAAACTATTGAACGAAATAATTTAAATCTTGCACCACGTGTTGAGTATTGAGTTGTGAATAACTCTCTAAAATGGCAGCATAAACGGATCAAATGTTCGGAAATGCGAAGCGAGTCTCGAAACTTAATTGTTCGACAGTGTATATTATTTTTGTTATACTATCTCAGATCTATATGTCTAAACTGAAGGGATGAATTTAGCGCGCTAAAACAAGAAACTATCTCACTTGGCACACTTTGGTCAAATCTTCAAAATAGCGCCCTTCCCCAAATAAAAATTTAATAAGATAAGATATTGCTAGTTTTACCAATTTCAGGTATTAAGAGCATAAAAATCATTACTCAAACGACAAGAATCACGTTTTGAAACATTGTAAAACATAATTCTTATTGTCTGAATAAGGATTTTTAATGAAACAAAATTACAAAAAATTACCTCTGAGAGCACTTTTTTTCCCAAAACTTATCGTATTTGACGATCCACCGAAATTTCTTGCACACACATCTAAAGTTAATGATATCCTCAATGCTGATATCATTGTAGCCAAGAATGATGGCTATTACCTCTTCAGGTAAGCACATTATCGTAGCCATTATCAGAAATTATCAAAAATGATCACTAAAATTCAAAAAATAATGTAATTTAAGAAGGTCGAAACAAACTATTCGCGTATAATTAATTTTTAGTTTGAAAGCACACGCGAAAATTACTACGTTTTATGTCTGCCGATTGCAGAGAGCAGAAGTGCGTGTCTTATGTACACTACAGAAGTTATTCACACTCTGTCCACTTTATAGACATATAGGATAGACCAACCTCTGCCGTGAGAAACAGTCTGGAAACATATAAAGGACAACAATCCCTACAATTCTGTCTATTGAGCTCTATCATAGACATAGTATATCTAGACCGAGTGTTGGAGAGAACGCAAGGGGCACGAAACAGAGTATGTCCTTTTCTACGTGCATCTTTACCCCCACTCCTTAAATAAAGGCAAACGCTCGGTCTAGATATACTATGTCTATGAGCTCTATACTACTGAACTATAGTAATACTGGAATGTGCGCAACCTACCTATACCATTATTTAGAAAGGAGCCAAAAGAGAGAGTATAATAACTATTACCGTTATTTTTCCATGTACTTTCTGCGCATGCTCAGTTCCTTTTAATTCCTCTTGGTATCATTTAGTAAAAAATATGCAGCTGATTTTTGATAAGCTATGAGTTATGTTATGACCCAATTTTTCGATAAGACTGTAGATAGCAGCCATCTCTTTCGACACGATAGTGCTACTGGCGCATATTTCAACATTATTATAGTTCAATAGTTTATTCTATATATCTATGGGGTCTATTCGTATATATGTATATATATATATGTGTGTGTGTGTGTGTATGTATGTATATATCAGGTGATTGCATAAGTTCGTGCCCGATTTAAATATAAACTTCAATAGATTATATTTTAGAGATAACACAAAGCCAAGCGTCGAGCGCGCACAGACGAAGACTTATGCTTTAGTGTGCGTTACTAGCCTATCCTCTTCACAGACTGTAAGCATGCTGTTGCGGCCGCAATCAGGTATCTCTGACTCTGACCGGCAGTATTCATTTAGCTGCGAGGTGTGCGAGTGTGATCTTAGGGGAGTCAGCATAGTAGTGAAGTTTGCCAGCATGGCAGGCAAAGAATCAAGATATAGAATAAGATCGCCTAAAATGTCTGAAATTGATAAACTTATTTCAAGAAATAGCGAACTCGAAGCAGCCAACAATGCGCTTAATGCACGAATCAGGTAATTCTTTTTACAAAATGTTTTCATTTATAAAATGGGTTCTCCTCTCTCTCCCTCTTTCTCTCCCCCCTTCTCCCTCTCTCTCCCTTCCCCCCCCCCTCTCTCTCTCTCTCTCTCATGTGTTAATAGTTATATATTATTTCTCTAAGTACACTATATTTTCTTTTGAAATAAGCAAGAAGAGTAGATAATATAGAAAAAAAAACGGTTTAATGGTCTTATGAGAAAAATGTCCTAATATTTTATAATTTATAATTGACACATATATTGATTTAATTAATGTTGTTTATCCATAAATAAATATTATGCACTTATAAATTTCTATAGATAATTAAGTATTCAAATAACATAAATGCGTCTTTCGACAGAGATTTGGAAAATTTACGAGAAAACGAATGTGCTCGTAACAGACGTATGGAAAACGAAATGGATCAAGAGTTGCAAAAATATCAGAATCTCGCGAACATTGGAATGAAGGAAATCGCTATGTATCGTGAATTGTATGAGTATGTGATAGCCAGGTGAGCCAATATATTGTAACCTCTTTAAATAGTAAATGCTCTTTTTATTGCAGTTTTGTTTTTTTAATCATAAATATCCAATTTTTGTTAAATTCTCAATCCTTAATCTCTTAAAAGGCATATATGTAAGATTTTACTTCAACGCAAATATTAGACATTAATTTATTTTTACTTTAATTTACTTTAATTAGATTGGACATGCATATGAAATCGACTAACACGATTTTAACTGATACAACAACTCCATCCGCAGATACCTCTCTCAGAAGCAACAAACGAAAACGTACTTTATTGGAAGAAAGTGAAGAGTGCAGCAGTAATGATTACAGCGTTACAGGCATTACTAGGGGTGATGTATGGATTACAGAAGTGAATCCCCAAGGACGATTTATAAAATTCAATAATAAAGGCAATAAGGTAAAGATGAAAGCTTTGGAAGAATTCTCGCGGCGTGCATTTTGACTTTATTTGAGCTATATAGATCACGTAATTCAACATATCGAACATAATTTCTGCAACAGAAAATAAATTTGAGCGGCTGGCAGATTATTCACAAAGCTGGTACTCTGGAGACAGTTTTCAAGTTCCATCGTTCCACGAAGCTCGAAGCAGGTGCTAACATAGTGGTGTGGTCGGCCTATATCGGCGCAATACACGCGCCACCATCCAACGTGGTTATGACGGATCAAAAGTGGTTTGTAGCAGACAACATGATAACACTTCTAACCAATAACGAAGGAGAGGTATGCATCACAATCAATCATGCATTTGCATTTAACTTAAATAAACATCTCTTAAATAAACATCTTTCATTCAATACCGATATATGATATGATAGATATCTTTAAACTCCAAGGAAAACAAATTTTGCAAAATACAAAATTTTATCAAAATAGATTTTACCCGAAGTTAATTCAAAAATATAGTTATGTTAATCTTTTGACTTTACAAAATTTAGTTCATAAAAAGCCCTTCTTTTTCAATCGCTTATAACCCGAAAATTATTGATGCCTTGACATTTTTGTTAAGGAAAACTCTTGTCTAAATTGATCAGAGAATTTTTTTTATTAAAATTATTAAAAAGAATATCCGATAATTTGGAAACATCCTGTATATAAGAAATCGCAACGGGTATCACATAATAATTGGGAGTATCTTGTTTCGTATTTTTTATCTATACACACGCAAAACAGGGTTTATACAGAACGGAATCTTGGGTGAGTTGCCAAGATAAGGAGCCGCACAAACAAATTAATCGAATACACGGAAAGGTATATTCCCATCACGCGTTCATCATTCAATTACAAACATCATCGGAACATTTTCGATAGTCTCTTCTCTCTACTGTTTTTCAAAGCTAAACTTATATAAATATTTCAAAGCTAAACTTATATATATAACAATGTCTTCAACATAAAATTATACATCAATCTGTAATTAAATTGAAATAAAGTAATATAAACGTATAATTATTAATTTTTATTTTCCTGGTTATCATTTTCTTCAGAATTGTTTTCTTGATTCTTACATCCTTTCTTGTCTAAATTGGATTATTAGAAAAATAAAAGTTTATTATTTAATGGACAAATAAAACTAAAACTTATAATTTCTAAACAACATATATGAAAATTATAAAATTGACAGATCGTAACTCTGCATCATATTTTTAAATACACACATATTTTTTTAAAACAACAGGCAATTGACAATTCCTAATAATAAGTATTCTAACTGACATAATTCTTTTAGTAATTTTAACTTTTCTTTGTGACGACGTTCTTTTGCTGCTTCTTTTCTCTCATTAATGTCGTACAGAATATCTTGCAAGGATTTCTTAACCTTTCTTTTAACTTCTGTATTTAATATTTTTATATTGCACGATTTAAATGCTTGATTATTTTTTTTTAGTCTTAAAATTTCTGGTTGGATACTGTCGTCTGCTGCTGAAATTTTCTTCAATTCTTCTTTATACTCTATCTCCATTCTGCTAGAACCTGATTTGCTGTTATTATCTACTGATTTTTTCTTTCGTTTTATATTTGTTTTCACATTGCACACTAATCCGTTCAAGATTTCCTTTAAATCTTGGGCAATTCGGTTACGCATGACTTTTTTAGTTTTGTACATTTTCATTGGATCCATATGCAACGAACATGGAGTAAATATCTCTTATTGTAGATCATGCAGTAATATTGCCAAAAATACGTAAGTTTCGATTATACAGGGTGTCCCATAATTCGCGTATCACCTGCCATATGCAGGTAGAGCACATGAAACCGAGAAGAAAAGTCCTTTACCATTTTGCGATTTTCGTAATAAATGTAATTGTTTGCAATTACATAGTAATACAAATGCAATTACATAGTAGTAATTAAATGTAATTGTTTGCAATAATTAACGATTATAAATTGTAATTATTAATTGCATTAAGAATTACATTGTAATTGAAATCCGCGAATTATGGGACACCCTGTATACGCGTGTTTTTTTACAATCAGTAAATATTTTTTACTTTATAAAAATAGTTAATATTTATTTATAACAAAAAAATTAAACTATTTACATTGGTTATAGTAGCAAGAAAATCAATAATGGGTATCCGGGTGCCCATAAATTGAATGGCGTACTATTCGATTTCACGGTGACAGCGCTACAAAAATAAAATTGATATCAAAATAAAATCTATTGAAAATTATATCTTATTATACCAAGAATGGGGCTCTGAAGCGTCACAAAACAATTCGCTAATCAACATAAAAATTTTTAACATTTAAGTCGCTTTGGGTACCCGTTCATTGACAGAAAGTTTAATACATTGGTGAGATATATTTTTATAAAGTACTAAAAGTAAATGCCGAGTAATTCCTATCGTTATCAAAAGATATACGGATCTCATATTCTTCATTACTAGAACATCGTTATTAACGTAATTATAATATCTATATAGTATTTTGAATCATAAATAGATAAATGCTTTTGTAAGAAAAAAAGATGAATATATTAAAAAAGAATAATAACAATGCAAAGAGAAAGGCTTGTTTTCCATGAAACATAAACGCCTTCCATACGGAAACTTTCGGCGAAGTCTTTCTCTTAACAAATTGTAATTTATAGCTGACAGATCTTAAGGTTGACATCTTACCCCTCTTTCCGCTATGCCATTATGCCAAGGGCATATATAATGAACAAATGACAAGTATGCATTTGTTTTCTTTTAAAAGAATTTCTTTCTCCTCTGTTTCAGAAATAATAAAACACTTTTTTGAAACTCAAAGATCTCTCACACAGGAATGGATTACCTGAAAGTCCCTTCGAGCTTCAAAGAAATTTTATTGTTTTCGAAAAACAAAAAGTTCTTTTAAGAAAAACCACTTTCGAAAACGGTTACATTACGTGTGTGTGCGTGTAAATCATAAAAATATATATTTTAGTCTGTCTGTTGTGTGGCGATAAAATTTCAACATATAAAGTGGATCATAAAAATAGAAATTTTAAGATAAGAAGGGATTAGAATTATTTAGAAATAAATTATAAAAGGAATATCAAAGTATAAAACATACTTTTTTCATATCAGTTTTCTTTTTATTTTTCAATTGTAAGCTCGATGTTCACATTTAGCAGCAAGTATGTTTTTCACATATATGCAAATACATCACATATAAATATTATGTAAGTGGTTTAGCTTTGAAAAACAATAGAAAGAAGAGACTATTGAAAATGTTACGATGCTGTTTATAATTGGATGATGAATGGGAATGAATTATACTATCTTTCCATGTATTCGATTAATTGTTGTTTTTGTGGCTCCATATCTTGGCAACTCTGCCACGATTTCCTTCTGTATAAACTGTTTCACGTGTATGCAAATAAAGAATATGGAACAAGATACTTCTCCCAACTACCATATGATATCCGTTGCGATTTCTTATACATATATACAAGATAATTCCAGATTATCGGAGATTATTTTTTAATAAAAAAAAATATTTCTGACCAATTTGGACAAGAATTTTCCTTAACAAAAATATCAAGGCATCCATAATTATCGAGTTATAAGCGATTGAAAAAAGTGTTTTTTATAAACTAAACTTTGTAAAGTCAAAAGATTAACAAAATTGTATTCTCGAATTAATATCGGATAAAATATGTTTTGATAAAATTTTTATTTGTTACAAAGTATAGAAGTATACAATGGGAAAAAATTGAAAATTTGCAAAAAATAATGATTTTTTTCGACATTCAAACTAAGAAAAAATGAACTTTAAGGTGTGGCATACTCGTTTGAAATCTGGAAAAATGAGTACATCTTTTAGATTTTTTTGCAGCGCGACGACTTGATAAAAATTTTTAATTTTTTTACGATATTAGTACAATATTATTAACTACTTAAATAAAAATTTCCAGCTCAAAAAAAATTTTTTTTTTAAAGTTATGCGAATATTCGCAGGTTTAGGTTTTCATGCATAGTGTGCATGAAAACTTGGGCTACATTCGACGGATTGATTTCAAATTTTACATGCGAGTTTCTAATAAGATTCCGCATCTGCCAAGGAAGCCTTTTTTTTAATCCGATTTCCTATTTTTTTGTTATAAAAAAAAAGGATGGACTTTTTTTTAAAAAAATCGAAACTTTTTTTTAACATGCCGCCATTTTTTTATTTTTTAAAATTTTGAAAAAACGCTTGAATAGCAGATAGCTATTACAATGTTTAATAAGAAAAAACTTGAATTTTTGATTTCAGATATGATCTACGAACGTTTTTATGCACATCGTGCAGCCACTTAAAATTTAAAGGAGCTCCGCAAATATTTCCATAACTTTTAAAAAAAAATTTTTTTTGAGCTGCAAATTTTTATTTAAGTAGTTAATAATATTGTATTAATATCACAAAAATAACGAAGTAGTTTTTAAATCCGATTTCCTATTTTTTTTGTTATAAAAAAAAAGATGGACTTTTTTTCATAAAAACCGAAACTTCTATTCAACACGCCGCCATTTTTTTATTTTCTAAAATTTTGAAAAAACGCTTGAATAGCAGATAGCTATTACAATGTTTAATAAAAAAAAACTTGGATTTTTTATTTCGGACATGATCTACGAACGTTTTCATACTGTGAAAAAACTTAAAATTTGGAGGAGCCCCGTAAATATTCCCATAATATTAAAAAAAAAATTTTAAGCTGAAAATTTGTATTTAAGTAGTTAATAATATTGTATTAATATCGTAAAAAAAATTAAAAATTTTTATCAAGTCGTTGCGCTGCAAAAAGATCTGGAAAATGTACTCATTTCTCGAGGTTTCAAACGGATATGCCCCCTCAAAGTCGATTTTTCCTTAGCGAGAAGTAATAAAATATTGTGCAATATTTTGTATACTATTGCAACATAAAAAGAGAACAGTTTTCAAGAACATTTAATACAAATGCAACATTTTATTATTGTAAAATTACATCGTGCTGCTTCTCAGAAACAAGCTTCTGTAGATTGAAGAATAGACCGAAGAATAACATAGACGGTTTCAAAGATGCGTAAAATTTGTGCGTTCCAACGGTGTCTCGTTGTATATACCAGGAGAAAATGTGTGTGTGTCTGTATGCGTATGATTAAGATCTTTCCTCTATACCTCTCCGCGCCGTACGATATCAACTCCTTGTTCTGTCGCTATAAAAATACGTATACACAGAATGTCCAAAACAGAATTGTCATTGTTTGATATTAAAACTTTTTCTCCGTGTAAGAAGTAACTGAACTACTATTGGTTTTCTCTTAATATATGCGTGCATAAATTTTTTAGTACATATGTTTAAGCAAAAATATAACAAATGTTAATCACTCTCTGTGTGCTGAACATTCGCGAACTCTCAATAAGAATGTGACGATGAAAAATTATAGCCCGCGCTATGTATCAGGTTTTGAGAAAGCATTTGCCATATTTGGCGCAGTCTGAATCAACAAAAGGACATTAAGAAAACTGTTCAAAATATGATCTCTCTGTTCAAGACAAACATATACGGTCTATAAAAGAATACAAAGGATAACATCGCGCGAAACGCAAGATCGAACTTTATACTCTCGTGTTGAGAAAAATTTACGCACGGGCGCGTTTGTCTTAAAGAATTAATATGTCATCGAATCGTCGAAAAATCCGCGAATAAAAAAATGTTGAATCTAGATATCGATCTTAACAGTTGTTTCCGATAGGTGAGTCAGAGATTATTTGAATAGAACAAGAATTTTTTTTTTATGAAATAATTTTATACGATTTTGTAACAAAGTTTTGGTCAGTTTGTCAATTAATTCTTTTGACACTTTATTTATATTTATTTTAAAAGGATTAATATAATAACT